CCAGAGAGCGGCTGGGGAGAGAGACCAGAGAGAGGCTAGGAAGAGACCAAAGTGAGACCAGAGAGAGACAGTCCTAAAGGTTCCACAACTGGAGTTAGTCAGAGGCGATAATTAGCAGTAATTCAGAGCTGACTGTCCCTAAGCACAGACAGAGGAGAGAAGCCAAAAACACTGATGAGGCTGGCAGCTCCTGCATGTGTTTGTGTCCACTCTGACCTGAGAGGGAGAGAGAAAGAGACAGAGAGAGAGAAAGGGAGAGAGGAGGAAGGCATTTTTCCTGGTCATTTGTGTCTCTGTGGCCTCTGGATTCTTGCACACATTCTGTTTCTGTTTCAATTTCGTTTTTTAAAGTAAATCAACACTTTTATATACATTTTTTTTTTTAAATTCATTTTCTGCATATTTCAATGAGACACAACATACTGTATGTGTCTTTTATTGTATAACAAATTTCCGAATTGACAGGTGGAATCAACCAAATTGACAGGTGGAATCAACCAACTCCCCCTGGACCTATACACATGGTATCGCACAGAATACTGGTCTGGTCCACACATAGTACAGACTTCTGCTGTGCTCTTTGTTCTGATGGTCCCTCTCACAGTTCATTTTTTCGTATTAATCCCAGAAAAGGCCTTAAGCGAAACTTCGAGAAAAATGACTAAAGACAGAACACAATCCTGACAAAGACATCAAATGCACCTGGTTTTGAGAGAGAGAGAGAAAGAGAGAGACCAAAGAAAGACAAGAGAGACACCTGCGAGACAGGGAGGAGATGAATATTTTTAGTTTATGAGACACAGGGTTTTATTTGTGGAGAGGGTGAGTTGTGTTGGCATCTGGACACAAGCTGACCTCTCTGTGGCCCCAGTCTCTCTTCTTGGTGGTGGGTTTTGGGGTGTGCACAGACTCTGACAGGTGTATTATTAACTTGTCCAGATTTTGACAGAAGCAAAGAGGTCAGAATTACAGGCTCTTGACAGTTTGGACTATAGAGCCAGGCAGCAGAGAGAGAGAGGGGCTTTGGTGATATTTGTGATATTTCCCCTTATATTTTCACTGTGTTTTGGAGTTTTTGTGGCTTCAGCTTTGGTCCAGTTTAAAACACAACCTCATATGAATAATGCATAGTGATAATAATTTTAGAACCACACAGACACACGCGCACACACACACATAGACTGCAGAGAAAGTGCAGAGTGTAAGAAGCCAAAACAAAGTAACACACACAGACTCCAAGGCCCGGAATCTGGAGCTAAATTTACAGGTAGCAACGACATAACGACCAAAGAGCCAATCAGCAGCAACAATGGTCCAATCACTCTCGTACTATTCGCTTCCCGAAACTAAATTTTGGTACAGAAGGCACCTGATTGGTCAGTTGTTTTAGGTCATATTAACTCTTTAACGGTTTCCCTTTTCGAGTCACTATTTCTACTTGAAGCTTGGAACTGAAATCTACCTCTACGGCTTGAAGCACTTCTACCATGAAACTGCATCTCAACCATTTAGTAAAGGCCTATAATTATAATTGAATAGAGGCTAAAAAAATTAGATAAAAACTGCTTATTTGTGTTACTAGTTCCCTTCAGCTTAGAAAAAAATCCATAGCTTTCATCAAGGAGATAACTTTAAAGGGTGACAAGGCGTGGGTCAGGGCTAGGGTTGTTGTTGTTGTAGTAGTTTATTTAGAATGATAAATTACTCACTGGACATTATAATAAAAAAATATATGAATACAATTTGAAAAGGAGTAGGAAGAAGTAAACTGAAAGTAGGACAAGCACCTTTCTCCCATTATTCTTCTTGTAAATTGCGGCGCTCATTCAAGAGTAAACAAAAGACTCCCATGTTTGGACGTTTTTTTCCGTCTCAAACGTGTCTCTGCTCATCACATGGAGCTGCTCATGTATGTTATGTGCTATATCAATAAATAATCCTTCTTTCTTGTATAATGCATTCTGTAAGCAGGCACAGCAGATGGAGACTTTAGCTATTTATATTCTCTGCCGCAGAACGTCTCTGTCTTTTACTTAGCTTAATGTCTGCATTGTGCACTGTCCTTAAAAACAGACACATAGAATCTAGACAAGGAATAAATTATACATGAACTCAAGTCGATGAATTTGTGAAGCGCCCTAATTCACATCAGCAGTCACCTCAGAGGACTTCACAAAGTTGTGGATTTAACAACAACAGATCAGAGAATCAAACAGTTCAAACAAAGGTAATGCAATAATGACAAACACATAGGAGCCAGGCTGTAGATCCAGGACTGAGGCTGTGGATCCAGGACTGAGGCTGTAGATCCAGGACTGAGGCTGTGGATCCAGGACTGAGACTGTACTGTAGATCCAGGACTGAGACTGTAGATCCAGGACTGAGGCTGTAGATCCAGGACTGAGACTGCAGATCCAGACTGAGGCGGTAGATCCAGGACTGAGGGCTGTGGATCCAGGACTGAGACTGTAACTGTAGATCCAGGACTGAGACAGTACAGTAGATCCAGGACTGAGGCTGTAGATCCAGGACTGAGACTGCAGATCCAGGACTGAGGCTGTAGATCCAGGACTGAGGCTGTAGACTCCAGGACTGAGGCTGTAGATCCAGGACTGAGGCTGTAGATCCAGGACTGAGGCTGTAGATCCAGGAGCTGAGGCTGTAGATCCAGGACTGAGGCTGTAGATCCAGGACTGAGACTGCAGATCCAGGACTGAGGCTGTAGATCCAGGACTGAGGCTGTAGATCCAGGACTGAGGCTGTAGATCCAGAACTTTGTGTCTTTTGGCCTCTGCTAATTTTACCAACAACTCGAGGCTGGCGCGTTGCCATTTTGGGGGGGGGGGGTAATCATCTTAAAAGCAGAGAGATGACACAAGTGCCTCTTGGTGATCATTAATCCTCTTGGTTATGGTCTGTAATTTTGAGTACAGATGTTTCAGGTGAAGTTCAGGATCTGACTAAAATACCTGAGCACGTCTTGTCTGGAGCCGAGAGCGAAGATTCTACTCCACAATAATCATTACCAAATAAACAAAGGATTAGAGGAAACCAGGGGCCAGGTTTATGTAGAAACTCACAGAAGAAAGAGCTGTTTCTTTCTCGCTTAAACAGACGTGAGATAAAAATAAAGCTGGTTTAGTTTTTAATGATAAAACATTGTTCTCTGATCCAAAAAGAACCTGAAATCACAACTTTATACATTCTGATAATTCTACTTTCAAACTAATAGTTTTACTACAGTGTTTTTGCATCCGAGTGGCTTTAATATTTCACCAGCTCGACTCTCTCCTCTATTCTACCCCATGTTGAAACAAACTAACCGTACTGCCAACAGAAGAACAGATAATATGTGCTCTATTTGAATCAAGAGTTGCAGATTAGCTACTAACTAATGTACAGTGTCCCAGCCAGTAGGGGGCAGTGGAACTTTACAATGCAAGACGCGTGACCTCCAACAGTAAAACCATTTCCTCAACAACATCCTCCTCAGGTCAAAGAACCATCAACATTCTGCATTTGACAGCAGTGAAACGGAAGCTGCACAACAGCTGTGGTTTTGTTTGGACGCAGGAGTAGAATCCTCCTCTGTGTAACGGTGAAGCACACAGAGCATTAGTTGATCCACCTCCATTGTTGTTTATGTTTGTTCTACTGCGCCTGCCACATGGACGGGGGGAGTGCCGACGTCATTGTAGGACAGGCGAATTTCAAATGTTTTTTCTTCATCCCACTAGCTGCACAGTGTGTCTGTTCCTGTTTCCGCTCTGGCAGGACGTTTCTCAGGGTTTGCGTTTTCACCAGAAACATCGTCATGGTGTGAACAAAAGGAACAAACCCAACTCTACCGTTTTACTGCCGCAGCGTCTCTGTGTAAACGGGGTCTGAAATTATCACTGTTTGTTGGAAAACAAAATGGCTGCTAAACCACAGCTCAGCGGGGGTCTGTGTTTGTTGGAGAGATGTTTGATTTCACGTCGTTCACCGCCTCACGCTGATGTCTGTCCTGAAGGAAGTTTTTTATCCACACACATCAGCGTCTGCAGCGGAGGAAACAGTACAGTATACCAGTGTGAGGAGTGTCTCTCCAGTTATCGCTCTTCTTAAATATTCAAAGCCTTGTCACCGTCGCTGCTCGAGAGGACAGCTCTAATGAAGAAGCAGGTCTTTGCAGTGAATCCTTGTGTTTGTCTTTAAGCTGCTCCACTTCAAATATATGTCCGTACTTTGCTCTGCGACCTGCACTGTCAGCAGTTTCTTTGTTATTAGCCATGTGGAGCTAATCCTCTGCTTAAGTGACATTAAAGCAGGAGAAGACACACACCACAGCTTTAATAGAACCTCCATTAAGGGTCAAGTGCCGCCTGGACGTTCAGAGCTGACAAAACCTCCTCATGCATGTGGTGAATGTGTCACACCTCTCTCCAGGACCGAGGCCTCAGGGAACAGTCCACAGATGTCACACAGATACAGTAAGAACTAATGCAATTATCATTATGCATCTATTTTAATGATGCCAGAGTGAAATATATTTATCAAACTTTCTTCTATTGGGTCAAGAAGGACGCACACCAACTCTATAGTTTCAGGATAAAAAAAGGATTTTAACCATTTAATACTTGCAAGAAACTCAAAACAATTCAATTCATTTGTGTATAGCCCTAAACTGCAACAGTATGGACTTGGTTTGTCCTACAGAGTCAGTCCTGAATCTACAACCTCAGTCCTGGATCTACAGTCTCAGTCCTGGATCTACAGCCTCAGTCCTGGATCTACAGTCTCAGTCCTGGAACTACAGTCTCAGTCCTGGATCTACAGTCTCAGTCCTGGATCTACAGTCTCAGTCCTGGATCTACAGTCTCAGTCCTGGATCTACAGTCTCAGTCCTGGATCTACAGCCTCAGTCCTGGATCTACAGACTGTTTTTTGCTTGATGACCTGTGCCCCCTCCCTCCATCTTGGGCTCGTTTCGGTCTCAGTGATTAGCAGCAGTTCCTCACTCACCGGTCGATGATCCCACACATGTCGATCTGGAGGTGGCTGTAGTTTCCCATGATCCTCTGCTGCAGCTGGATGAGGTCCACGGTCTGTGCATTCAGCGACAGCAGACGCATGCAGCCCTGGAACGCACCGAAGGGGTTCGAGCACTGGGGAGCGCTCTGCTCTGACGGGCAGCCTGCAGAGAGAACAAGGGGAACAAATGACATCACAGCAGCACATGGCCAAACGTCCCCTGACCCTCACCCTCAGCCTCACCCTCACCCTCACCCTCACCCTCACCCTCCCTGGGAAACAGCTACACAGAGCTACACAGAGTGACAAAGTTGGAAGCAAAACAGACAACAAAAGCCCTCACAGCACACACACCACTCCTTGGAGAAGCTCCTAGATCTAAAGAGCGATCCGGATAATATGGGAGTAAACTACAGATGTAGAATATGTTATACCTCATTTTAAAGCTCAAAGTCTGCAGGAAACACTTATTAAAATTCATGCATTTAACGATATTAATGACTGTTATAAGTAATGAGGGGTTGAGGGAGGAGATCAATCACACAGAGGAGCTCGGAGTAGAGCCACTGCTCCTCCACGTGGATCAGAGCCAGTGGAGAGGCCTCTGTTTAGGAGGCCTCCTGGACATTTCCCAATCAGGCCCCTGACCCCTCCCCAGTTTATACAGAGATAGCATAGATAACCTCCCTCAGTGCTGCGGCAGAGATCTGGAGCCGCAGTCATATACATAATATAATATTTACTTTCATAAATCCATGTGCAAAAAATGAAGCCTGAGAAAAATGTTTACCACATTATTAAACATGTATTGATATATGCTGTGGTCCTGGTTATAAGTGTTTGTTAATGACAATGATTATTAACAAATGTGTGTAATTCTTTTCATGTATTAAATTGAAATAATTGTTTCAATAATTTATTTTTTGCGTAATGTTAATACGCTAAACTCTCTCTCTTTTTTCTCTCGCTCTGTCCCCGTCTACCTCCAAGGCGCTCTCTTCTCACCGCTGCGCGCGCACGCACACGCACACGCACACGCACACGCACACACACACACACACACACACACACACACACACACACACACACACACACACACACACACACACACAGTGCTACTGCACTTATGAGAGACAGATCTCACAACAACACTGAAATATTTGGAGTTCTTTTCTCTTTTCTCTCTCCCCTTTTACCAATTGCTTAAGTTTTGCCTCATCCATCCTCGTCCGCGATGCTTCATTATGTCGTGCTTTGCGTAGATCATAGCCACAGCTCATGCACATCACACACCGCTTCTTCTATCTAAAACAAAGCCACACGGGTGCTAATAAACCCACAGCCAGAGCTGCACGCTGCTGAAGCCGGTGTGGACACTGTTCCGTTTTACGGATGTCTGACGGGCAGCAGCCAACGCGAGTAAACGGAGACGCGCCCGGTGGAGTTCAGCACTTAGGAGGGTTTGGCCATGTGTGTGCTGTCATCCAGCCAACTTCAGCTCCTACACACATGTATCAGTTCAGAGCTTTGAACCTCAGTCCTGCTGGTTTGTTAAAATGCAATAACAGCTTATGGATAAGAGCTGTTATTGGTTCAGTCCTGGTTAAGACTTAGACTTAGACACTTAGACTTAGGCAGACTTTATTAATCCACAAGGGTTTTCACAGTGGCTTGCATAGTATTTCACAATAAAAATTTAAAAAATAACGTTTTCACCTGATTTAGACCTAGTTTTTTTGTCCTGGTTCAGTCCTGGTTTAGAGCTAATTTAGACCTGGTTTAGACCTGGTTTAGTACTGGTTAAGGTTTGGTTTAGACCTGTTGGAGACCATGTTTAGTCCTGGTTCAGCCCTTATAAAGTCCGAGTTTAGACCTATTTATTACTACAGTAGTTTAGACCTTGTTCAGTCCTGGTTTAGACCTAATTTAGACCTGGTTAGACCTGTAGAAAAATTGTGGTCACAAATTACAGACAGAGTTAATATTTTTTCTTTCATTGTCAGCTGGAGTTTGCAGATCACCAAATAAGGTCAGGTTGAAGATTCGGGCAAAAAAAATCTGTTTATAATAACTTTAAACGACTTTATTTCAGTCTCTTTAAGACAAGTTCCCAAAGTGCACACTCTAGAAGAGTTTAATATTGTCCTGTTATCTTCGAGTCTCAACAAAGATAACATTTAAACTTCAAACGCCTTCATTTCATGTTTTTGTCCCTGTTTTGCGTCACTCTGCTGCACATTTCCACCCGATACTGACGTCTGTGTGGCTCCTGACAGCTCTGTGTGACTTTGTTCAGTGGTTTCAGCTAAATTACTTCATCACAACCTCCAGGCAAACGTCCAAACTGATAAAACACTGCCATTGTATCCTTAGGCAAGACACTGCACCCAGACTGCCGAGTGTGAACCAAGCAACTATCCATAGAAGTACTGTATAAAACATCACTGAGTCTGTATATGTTGAAACCAGTTGGTGCCTGAGTCCTGGGTTCGAGTCCACCTCCAGGCCTTTCTGTGTGGAGTTTGCATGTTCTCCCTGTGTGTGCGTGGGTTTCCTTCAGGTGCTCCGGTTTCATGTTTTGAGTGGTAGAGGAAACCCTAGCACCTGGGGAAAGCCTAAGCAGACAGGAGGAGCATATGCAAACTCCACACAGAAAGGCCTGGTGGTGGAAACAAAACCAGCACTCGGGTCTCCCTCTCTGGTCTCTTTATCAATCAATCATTTATTTGTATAGTAGAATTTGTTTACAAGGCATTTCAAAGTACTTCACAAGAGCAATTAAAAAACACAGATCAAAATGCATTTAAAAGTCAATTAAATATACAATTAGTTCATGGTCTCTCTCTGGTCTCTCTGTCTATCCGGTCTCCCTATGTGGTCTCTCTCTGTTCCTTCTATCTAGTTTCTCTCTCTTCTTCTGGTCTCTCTCTGGTCGCCCTCTCTTTGGCCTCTCTCTCTGGTCTCTCTATCCCCTAATACAAACACAAGAACCCGACGGGGACCCCAAACACACTGACAATGATCACCACACGTTCACTCTCGCGTTACAATTCAGAGCTATTGTACATGTGTATAGTGGTGGGGGAAACCGGAGCACCTGGAGAAAGCCTACGTAAAGAGGAAGAGAACGTGCAAACTCCACATAGAAAGGCCTGAAAGTGGAATCAAAACCAGGACTCAAGCCAGAGAGAGCGAGACCACAGAGATACCAGAGAGAGACCAGAAAGAGACCCGAGGGAGGCGGACCAGAGAAATAGATTCTCACTCTTAAGTCTCAGTCTCCGATTTTCTGGTTTGACACACTTCTAGCTTCTATCATCACTCTCAAACATTGTAAAGTGCTTTTTGTCACTTGTCTCTCTTTCTCTCTCTCTCTCTATAGACTCCCTATCTCTTTTTCCGGTCTCTCTCTTTCTCTGGTATCCCTCCTGTCTCTCTCTCTCTGGTCTCTTTCTGGTCTCCCTCTGGTCTCCCTCCGGTCTCTCTGGTCTCTCTCTCCAGTCTCTCTTTCTCTCTCTCTGGTCTCTCTCTCTCTCCTGTCTCTCTCTCCGGTATCTCTCTCTCTCTGGTCTCTCTCTCCTCTCTCTCTCTCTCTCTGGTCTCTCTTTCTCCGGTCTCTCTCTCTCTGGTCTCTCTCTCTCCGGTCTCTCTCTCTCTGGTTTCTCTCTCTCCTCTCTCTCTCTCTCTGGTCTCTCTCCCTCTGGTCTCTCTCTCTCCGGTCTCTCTCTCTCTGGTGAATAGAAATCTAATATACCAAAATCTTCTCCTCGTTCCTCTCTCACTGCAGCAGTATCTTGTGTCGTGCCATTTCCACACAATGAGGATCTGGGTGCCAAAAAAAGATCAGCGAGTCCAGAACTGGCATCTGCCGCGGTCTCGTTATCACAGCAGCAGAACTCTGACCGATGGCCCCAAAAAATTACGCATTTTTTCTGTTTTGTTGAAGGAAGATTTAAGGAGGGAATGTAGATATATATGAAGATAGATCCTCTCAAAACAGTTTGGTGCAAGCAAAAGTGTTGCACATGCATATTTTGACTCTCTCTGGTCTCTCTATCTCGCCTCTCTCTCTCTGGTCCCTCTCAGTCTGGTCTCTCTTTCTCTCTTTTTTCTCTCACTGGTCGCTCTGTGTCTCTCTGGTACCTCTTTCTCCCTGGTCCCTCTCTGTGGTCCCTCTCTGTGGTCCCTCTCACTCTGGTCTTTCTCTCTGGTCCCTCCCTCTCTCTCTTGTCCCGCTCACTCTGGTTTCTCTCTCTGGTCTTTCTCTCTCTGATCTCTCTCTATCTCTGGTCATCTGGTATCTCTCAGGACAGATACAGAAGAGAGTAACATGTTTGTGCCCGAAGTATTGGCCTGTATAAAAGTATGTGTTGAAAATTATAATGATTCTACAACACACACTATAATCTTAAACTGCGAAAATCCTTTCTTAGTTAAGATTAGGATTAAGTCTTGAATCACATTGCGTTTTTTAATTTCTTTCAATTTCCTCTTTTATCAAACACGTGTGATGTAACAAGGCAGCTCTGCATGTGGCATCTGCAATTATCTCATTACATCATAACGAGATTACCTTGTCAAGCATCTGGTGCGTTGCAATACTGTGTCTATGCTTTGTTAATCCTAATGCATTGTACCAGAGAGAGAGAGAGAGAGAGAGAGAGAGAGACCAGATACAAATAACAGAGGGAGAGCCCAAGAAGAGAGACCAGAGATAGATTCATGAGAGAGAGGCCAGAGAGAGACCAGAGAGACAGAGACCAGAAAGACCAAAGATAGTCCAGAGAGAGACCAGAGGCAGAGACCAGAAAGAGAGATCAGAGAGAGATATAGGAGTGAGAAACCAGAGACAGAAACTAGACTCGGGAGAAACCAAAACGAGAACAGAGAGAGACCAGAGACAGAAACCGGGGTGAGACCAGAGGGAGATCAGGGACAGAGACCAAAGAGAGACCTGGGAGAGACCAGAAAGAGACGATATAGAGACCATAGAGAGAACCCAGAGACAGAGACCAGAGAGAGAGACCAGAGGGAGTGACCAGAGAGAGAGACCAAAGAGAAACCGGAGAGAGAACCCAGAGACAGAGACCAGAGAGAGAGACCAGAGGGAGTGACCAGAGAGAGAGAGACCAGAGTGAGACATGTGAGCGTTCTGACCAATCAGAACAGCTTCTCAGAGAGTGATTTGAGTGTGTGGCACTAAAGTGTGGATTATTAGAAAACCAATGATAAAAATAATAATAAAAGTCTGGCACATTGCAATACATACGTCGTTGAGAATCTTTGTGCATTGTAGAGGCTCGCAAAGATGGTAGTCATAATGTTTTGGCTCCACTCTCCTCTCTACATGTATGTGCTAGCGGGGACGTTTTAATTGCCGCCTGTTGTAGCTCTAATAGAGGTTTTGTTGCTCCGTGGGCCTGTCTCCCTGTTGCTCTGTGATGCTGAGTGTGGATTTCTCTCCTGCTTTCTCCCCTCCCCTGTCGGTTGGAGCCTGTCCTAGTTCGGGCCGGTCCTGGTTGGATGCTGAGGCGGAGATGGAGCTGGGTTGTATCGCTCCCAGCTGCAGTTCGCTCCAATTACAGCAAGTGTAGAGCCTCCCAGGCCGAGAGAGTGCAGAGGCAGATGACACGGCTTCACTTTCAGGAGCCTCAAAGGGAGGTTTTTGCCAAAGACGTGGGCTAACACTGTACTGACAGCGGCGGTAATTAAAAGACAGAGTTTTTTCAGATGTGGAAGGAAATGCCAGAAGTGTGAACTCGCTGTATCGCAAGTATTGTTGTCAGGGGGGTGGTTTATATTTTTATCCACTCTGTGAGCAAGGACATTCTATTGTCGTGTCCTCAGGTATAAAACTTCTCTCACTTTGTCTGTGACTAAATAACATGGGATTCAAATCTGTACTGCAAGATGTCTGCCTCAGGTTTTTCCAAGATGTCTGTCCCTGGTCTCTCCAACATGTCTGCCCCTGGTCTCTCCAAGATGTCTGCCTTTGGTTTCTCCTAGATGTCTGCCCATGGTCTCTCCAACATGTCTGCCCCTGGTCTCTCCAAGATGTCTGCCCCTGGTCTCTCCAAGATGTCTGCTCATTCATATCAATGGCCTATGCTCCTGCTCGCTCTATGGTCGTCCCAAACATTAGCTCTGATTCTCCAGGTCTTGTTCCAGTAGGTGAGCACTGGTACTACATCTGTAAAACATGAGCGTTCTGACCAATCAGAGAGACAAGAGAGAGACCAGAAAGACCTGAGAAGGACATAGAGAGAGAAAAGTGAGAGAATAGGGAGATACCAGAGGGAGACTAGTGAAAGACCAGAGAGAGACTACAGGGATCTGAGAGAGAGACCAGAGAGAGACTAGTGAAAGACCAGAGAGAGAGACCAGAGACACCTCAGAGTCCAGATAGAGACCAAAGAGAGATAGACGTGAGAGAGACCACTAAGTGTTCTGACCAATCAGAGAGCTGCTGATTATAGCAGTAGCACTGAAGTGTGGATCTATAGAAAACCGATCAAAAGAAACAAGTTCAGGACAACAAGACACTACAGTCCTCTGTGAAGGCTGCAGTTTTCTCTGAGGACGAGCTGATTTAGTGACACACAGTGTGTGGATTTAGGCTGCAGTACCGTGGGTGGCCTCTAGTCAGGCTTCACTGGGAGGGTCTAAGGACAGTGACGATCCAGGACATTTAGGAACATGTTTGGACAGTGGTCATGCTGCTCCCTATGGTCCTGTGTGATTGTTATCATTGTCTCCCTGCTGCTCTGTGATGCTGTGTTCAAACAGTTTGATTCTCTGATCTGTTGTTGGCGGATCCACAACTTTGAAAAGTCCTCCCAGGCGACTGCTGTTATGATTTAGAACGTTGGAATGAATTGAATGCATGTGATCAGTGCTCTTCCATCATTCTCCAGGGCAGCTGCGGGTTCTATCATTACGACTTTAGCGGAGCTGAAATCATCTACATGGAATTATCAATGATTTATTAACACAGCATTCAGATGTGGCCCTCGGCTGTGTTCTGGCTGCTGTGGTTACTGTGTAATGAGAATCCATGCGAGCAGACGACCAGAACGTGAAGACCAGAACGTGAAGACCAGAACGTGAAGACCAGAACGTGAAGACCAGAACGAGGAGAACAGAACGAGGAGAACAGAACGAAAAGACCAGAACAAACACTAACATCAAGAGAAACTCCAGCCAGAGCCACATGGGGCAAGACTTGGTGCTGTTTGAGCCTTTGGTCAAGTGTTGAAAGACAGAAGCGCAAATATGAAAAATATAATGAAACAAGACGATTAATGGACTTAAAAACAGCACAAAGAATCTTCAAACTTCAAAAGACCACTGAGAGGGAGACCATAGTGAAAGACTCATCAGCTCATCGTAAGAATCCAGTTTTAGGTTTGAAATGTTTTGGTTCCATCTGACTGCATGAGACGAGGAGCTGCTTTAAAGCCTCCGGAGTCTTCCTCTGATCTTCCTCCTGTGACTCTTGAGACGCAGCGACGATGGAGAGGAATGTTTAGGTTTAAATCCTTTCTAAAAGTGAACTTTGACTGAACTGTGTGGCGCGTGACGAGGGTTTAGAATATGTATTTCTATATTGAAAATTGAGGAAATTGTTATTCACGTGCGTATGTCGGACTGAACTGAGACGCTTTGACTTGGATTCATTTTTCAGACACTAGTTTTAGAACTATTAAAACAGCACTTTCAGGCAGTACAGAGAAGTATCAGTCCTGGATCTACAGCCTCACTATAGAAAAGGCGAGGTAATAATTGCTTAAATTGAGTGTTTTTTTCTTAAATGGAGTACATTCCGACTGTCCTAAAATAAGATTTACCAATGGAAGAAGCATTTTAGTCTTATTTCAAGAACTGTTGTTTTTTTTTTTTTTCATTCCAAGGGAGACAATTCTTGCATCTTTTAGATTATTTTTCTTGTCCCATTTTTAAATGTTGTTTCAAAGCAGTAAAAATGCGCTCAAATTAAGATACATTTAGGCAAATTTGAGCAATTTTTAACTCATTGCATAACTTTTGGCAGTGGGTCCTGGATCTACAGCCTGGATCTACAGCCTCAGTCCTGGATCTACAGCCTGGATCTACAGCCTCAGTCCTGGATCTACCGCCTCAGTCCTGGATCTACAGCCTGGATCTACAGCCTCAGTCCTGGATCTATATCCTCGGTCTGGATCTACAGCCTTGGTCTGGATCTAGAGCCTCGGTCTAGATCTACAGCTGGGGTGTTATTCATGCGGCCTGCGGGCCAAATCCGGCCCGCCAAAAAATTTAACACAACTCATTTATGTAAAAAGATAATAAAAACAATCTTATTTTTTAAATTTTTTTATCTGCCCCGCAGCGCAAGGCCCCGCGACGCTCCGCGCTACAGCGCTGAGCTCAGCAGCGAGTTGAGTGCCTCTGTAGTGGCTCCCACCAGAGCGTGTTCTGTGACTGACACCCTCAGCAAAATATCTCTGTCAAAAAGGCAAATTGTCAGGTTATTCAAAAAAAGTGGACTATTTCTTATTTGTTCGCGGAGGTGAATGAAACACTGGTGCCTAGTGTGAATGCAACAAGCCGCTGAAGGGATATGATCTTAAACTACAAAGCAGCAGTCTGTTTGTGCCCAGAGCGAGTGGTTAGTGATGCTGCTGTAAAGGCAAGCTAACTGAGTGCTAACAACATAGCGTTAGCATCGCAGCCGCACAGTAAGGCAGAGTTTGTCCAAACTCTCACACAGGCTGCAGACATGGTCTGAGAAACCACACACTTTTACATCATGTTTGATGAGAGACTGATGTTACTGATGTTGCATATGTAGATAGATGTTAGCGTTTGTTCTGGTGCATTGGACAGAGTGGACTGGTTCTGCGCTCTCGGCCTGGTACCGATGGTAAAGGCAGGTGTAGTAACAAAGCCGCAAATGGAGGTGATGATTTTTGGACATTTGACTGTATTTTACACAGAGACACTGCTGCAGTTTACTCATTGACTGCCATTGACGTATTTGTCTTAGACCCTCTATTTGACTGGGGATTAACAGGACAATAAAAACAGCTAGAAACAAACTTATTTTTGCTGATGAAAGTAGACAATCCAGTCTTTCAGAATCTGGTTTCATATTTCACAGAAATAATATTCTATGGGTTTTGAGAATCAGTGAAATCATCAAAAACGGCTGGCAGTCAATGAGTTAAAAATGGATCACGTTATGGAAGTTTTTTTTTTCATTTCAACTGAATCATGGTCAGTTTGATGCTTTCTCTCTGATAATAACATAACCATGGACTTCCTTACCGCACTGAAGATGGTTAATGTGATAATAACATAACCATGGACCTTACCACACTGAAGATGGTTAAGCTGAGGTGCTGTATTAAAGTGCTTTTTTCTATCTACTGTACCTTGGTGAGCAAGTTTTCTTTGTAATGAGCCTTAATAAAACAAAGCTGCACTCAAAGCTAACACACAAATATGAATATAAATATTGTGAAATGTCATTAACAATTAAATATTGTAAATACATAACATTATTTGCACTATGAACAACTCACTGTTACATTTAAGTTTGTAACAGATTTACCGTTAAAACTGAGCGAGTATTAGACCGATTTTTAAAGGAAGTTTTAAATAAATGTGTTTATGTGGTCAAAAAGTTGGACTTTGTACTGTTTTTGGGTATTTTTGTAGAGAATCTTCTGGTCCGGCCCAGTTGAGATCCAATTAGGTTGTATTTGGCCCCCGGACCAAAATGAGTTTGACACCCCTGGTCTACAGCCTCAGTCCTGGATATATAATCTATTGTATATAAAGTGTTGTATCCCTCACCTCCAAAGTGCAACTGTGTCCTGTCGCTCAGAGTCACAGCTGCAGTGATGTGAGCTGTGGAGCCTTCACTCTGATCCACAGAGACCTGGACCGAGTCCAGACCCAGACTCAGACTCACAGAGTGCCACTGACCGTCACTGAGACCAGAGCCTGTGGAAGAGGTTACAATCACTATACACAATATACAATATACAGTAACACAACAACACAATAAAATATGTAAAAATCTATGAATTTTCATGACCGACCACCGAGACTCATTAACCGGTTGAAACCGGTTAACCGCGCAGTTTAAAATAGTCCTAGTTCTTTGAAGTGCAGCTATGCGTTCTACTGGATCAGAGCCGAGACAGCGTCGCCAAAACCCGCAATAGCTTCGGCACCTTGCGCACAGAGAACTGCTTTTTTAATCTTCCCATTCTTCTGAGCTGCGAGTTAAAGCAGCAAACGACGGCTCGTTCACATGGTCAGAGCAGCGAGTGACGAGCCGCGTCTCGCAGGTCTCCGCTAAAGTTTAAAAAGAAGTGATGTGTGCGGAGCTGATGCCAAGGACCATCAGCACAAACATGTTCCATGTGGTTCGACTGGAGCCGCATATTTGCGAGGATCCTTTGGGCTGCGTGACACAGAGGAGCGCGACAGACCGGTGTGTGTGTATGTATGTGTGTGTGTGTATATGATATGTATGTGTGTGTGTGTGTGTGTGTAAATATAAGCTCCAATGTAGTTCTGACCCGCACCAGTGTCCAACTTTGGCGGTAACAGAGGGGAGAGATGATGCGTGTGGATGTTACGTATCAACGGGTGTGTCTGTGTCTGTGTGCGAGCTCGCCCGTGTGCGTGTGTGCGTGCATGTGCGGCGTGTGCGGCAAGAAAGTCGGCCCAAAGTTTACTAATGCATGGGCGCACACAGCTAGAGACGGACCCGCTCGTCACACCGTGAAAATAAGGCTTAAAATAGCGTTATGAAGAGACCTCCCCTCTCCCCCTTTTTCTTTTTTTTAACCGACAGCTTTGATCGGTTAACGCTCTGACGGTCAACCACCGGTTAAACGGTCACCGATTTACATCCCTAAAGACACTCCTAACTTCACTACACCCGTACAGTGACCTGTGAGTCTAACCTAAAGGTGGTACAATTAACTGTCGTATTCATTTGTTTTATTTCAAGGGCGTAGGTTTGCGTGGGGACCATGGGGACATGTCCCCACCAATATTTGGTGAGGACTAAAAAGTCCCCACCAAAATGACATGATGTCCCGTGACCCGGACGGTCCGGGACACATGTCTTCCGTTTGTGCACACGTCGCGCCTCCTCCTCGCCTCCAGAGCAACAGCAGCAGCAGCAGCACGTGACCCGTTCCTTTCTCTGCAGTGATTGGCTGTCTTCTTCAGCGCCAAACTGAAGCACTGAGCAACTGTTTAATTTTTAAAAGTTAGCCAGCGTGAAGCAAGTGGTTTTTTTTCGTTCCCTGAGCGTTGTAGCACGTGAGTAATCAGAGGAAAGTACTGTAGATCTATTACCATTCAAAGTACTTACGTTATTTCTAATCTGTCAGCGCACTGTTTAATGTTCCGAGGAGCTCACACGGCACAGAGACAGAACAGAACTGGCTCCAATAAAGAAACAGGTTGGTTGAAAGGCTGAGAAAATACTTATTGTGCTCTTACTATCCAAAATGTATGAGTGGGTGTGTTGTGTGAATCAGGATAAACTAGGGATGAAAATATTCCACGGATCCACAATTTACAACCTTTATCTGCTGATAATGTAATTTCTGTGAAATGTGTGACAGCGGGCACTTGCTGTTATTTGCTCTAAGCACATTCAAGCGATGCACTCGAATGTGCACGTCCTGGTGCAGCTGCTGCCGCTTTGTAATGACAGCCGCGGCGCTCAGTGAAAGCACAGCTCTAACATGGTACCGAGCTCGGACCATATGCAGACAGAACCATGTTGCAAGTGCGGGTCTCCCTCGTATCTCCCCCGTTTCTCCCCTGTGTCTCTGACATGTCTCTCCCCTGACTCTTCCCAAAGCGCAAACAGCGCTCCCAAAATTAAAGCTCGGATACCTAAATTTTCCATTGCGTTAACGATGCATGCTGGTTGTGCGCAAAACACACCACAACAGGTCATTTAAGTTTTTATTTTGCATACTTGAGAGCCCTGTGAGTCATTACTTGCCTTTTTGGGTAGAGAGTGGAATAAAAAAAAGACAATATAGAAAAATCCACACTGTTACTTATTGCCAAACTCTTGTTAACTCATTGTATTGAGAACTACTATGTAACTTTTGACATTGGCCAAGTTATATAAATGATTCTGCAGTTCATGTATATGAATGTCTGTTTTTGATTGTCTATACCTTCTTATATAATTTAGAAAAAATGCCACCTCCACAAAAAAAGATAAAACATATCAGGAGCTTTTTTAACAGTTGGAAAGTAAGTAAGAGAAAGCACAAGTAATAGCAAATTATGAATTGTGATGATTAATCTTCTGTTAACATACATAGGAAACTCAACCACCAAGAGAGAACAATATAGGGAATGTTGAGGTAGAAGCAACAGGCCCTTCAGTGCATCAGGTGAGGTTGGAATTTTGTAGGTATGCATGGGGCTATGAATTGTTTTTAGAGATTGATCGTATATGTCAAACAATGTAGTGAGCTACTCACTGTAGATTCTAATTCAATATTTTCTCCTCTGTTTTTATTACTGCTTCTCATTCAGTCTACAGCTGAGTTTAGTATAGAAGGCAACACACTATTGCAAATATAGTGTGTGATTACACAACAAATTCTGGGGGAGAAACTCTGGACCCCGTGTCAATGGGTGTAGACTCAGGTCGTAGTGAATGTCCCCACCAAGATTGGAACCAAACCTACACCATTGTTTTATTTATAGATATCTCGACTATTAAGACATTTAAATGTAGCTCAACAACCTTCTAAAGTAGAGTTATCAAAAATGAAAACTAAAAATAGTTTAAAAAAAAATAAAAAATACTTTCAGAGAGTATCCAAACTAAAAATCATGTTTAAGGGCTGTTTAAAGGAATACTATGACTTAAAAAACAGACGGCTTTGTGGCTTTGTTGTTTCTCTTTGTCTTTCAACACCAGAAGCATGAGACACATTTTGTTTTTTATTTGTCGATACTTATTCTTTAAGTGGCTGTTTTTAATTGTGTGCAGCACTGTCAGCACAGGCTGTTTGAAATGTGCTATACATTTAAAAATTGGTTGATTGAAGGATGCTGAGGACACTACAGTCTGCACCTGCACTGAGCTCCAGCAGGGGGCGCTGTGACGTCCTCAGCAGCAGTTTGATCCGGCCCCCGCTCACGTAGAGCCAGACCCCGAACTCCGAGAGGTCGAAGGTCACCAGGAGCCCCTTACGGTCCCAGGTCCGGATCTGCATCTCTACGGCCACCAGCCCTGACCCCGCCCCCGGCAACGCCCTCGGCAACGGGAGAGACAGGAAGCTGAGCGGGTCACCGAAAGTCACGGCAACGGATGCAGGCTCCGAGCATGAGAAGGTGACGTTTCCCTGATTAAAGAAGAAGAAGTGAGTTAGGAGGAGGTGATAGAGAGAACTGTGGAGAGATGTAGACAGAGACGGAACAAAGAATCAGTAAAGACAGATTATGACACATGAAACTCAAATTAATATTCTACACAAAGTAGCTCTGGAAATCCGTCTTCATTCGCACCTTTTGCGATTGTTAATTATAAAAAACAGTATGTGAGTCTCCATGTGGCGCCACCTGCAGGTGAAAGCCTGGTCCTGCCAGTCCTCTGTAGCTCAGCGGGGCAGGGCCTGGTTAGTACTGAGATGGGAGACCTGTGGTAACACCAGATGCCACAGTAGGGTGGCTGTGGCTGTAATGTGCCAAACTATGGACTTTAGGCAAGACACCACTTTATGGAGAATATTCTGGATTCTAATGTTAATGAAGACAAGTCTTCTCGATGTGCGGCTGTTAGGATGAGTCCAGAGAGAGACTAGAGAGGGATCAGAGAGAGACCAGAGAGAGGGACCAAAGAGAGACCAGCGGGAGGGACCAGAGAGAGAGAACAGAGGGAGAGACCAGAGTGAGGATAGAAAGACCAGTGAGAGACCCGAGAGAGACCAGAGAAAGGGACCAGAGAGAGGGACCAGAGAGGGACCAATGATCCCCTTGGTTCCCATGTGTCTGGGATGAGGCTCCACATGAATATGGATCAGTGTGGGAGCTGACTCAGTGATGTCATGGAGGTGAGAGCAGAGAGGACACCAGTAAAAGCACATTAGCATACTGATGACAGGGAGACGCAGGGCCACCCAAGGGTGCCCCCATCCTGAGGGTCACAGTGCTACACGAGCCTTTAATTACACCACAAACACAACAGGAAGTGAAAGTGATGGCAGCAGGGTTTAAGGCTGATGAGAGACCGGTGGAAAGTTCTATTACTTTTAGATGACAGTCGATACATTAGGAGAAAGTGTCAGGAATGTTAATATGTGTTTAAGTAGCTTTACAGAGTTTTAAATAGACTATACTTGAAGGTAACTGTCACGTTATACAGTTATATGATGACCAGAAAGAGCCCAGAGAGAGACCAGAGGGAGACAAGTGAGAGAGACCAGAGAGTGAAGGAGACCAGCAAGACATCAGAGAGAAAGACCAGAGAGAGACTAGAGAGGGACCAGAAAGAGATTCTTGTGGAAAGTTTCATTACTTTTAGACGATGATGATGGCCGACCCATTTGGAGAAAGTGTCAGGATTTTTAATATGTATTTAAGTCAATTTACATAGATAGACCAGTGAGATAAAAGAACGAGACCAGAAAGAGACGAGAGAGAGAGTAAGAGAGAGAGAGAGAGAGAGAGAGAGACCACAAAGAGATCAGTGAGACAAGAGAGAGAGAGAAAGAAATACTTGTGAAAAGTATCATTACTTTTAGATGATGATGGCCTATCCATTAGGAGGAAGTGTCAGGGTTTTTAATATATATTTAAGTCGCTTTAGTGGAAAAAGTCATATTAAAAGTGGGAACCGAGGTCTTTCATGTCCTGCTTATATAAAATGTATCACTCATGTAAAATCCCCCTTAGAGAAAAACCTCTTCCCGGAATTAGCATCCTCCATCTCTGCTGCTGCTGCATGAATGTGGCAAGAGGAATCCATAAACCACAGAAGGGCAAGCAATTATATGGTTGCCATGGAGATTTATAATGTTACATACTGTAGGTGATAGTGGAGGGACAGAAAGAGAAAAGAGAGAGACCAGAGAGAGAGGCCAGAGCGAGACAAAAGAGAAGCAAAAAAGATACTAGAGAGAGACCAGTGAGACGAGAGAGAGAGAGACCAGAGAGAGACCAAAGGGAGAGACAACAGCACGAGACCAGAGAGAGATACCAGAGAGACCAGAAATGGCAAAGAGAGCAGAGGGATAAACCGTCAAAACACACTCACCGGATACGGAAGCGAGAGACTAGAGAGAGAGAGAGACCAAGATCCGGATAATAAAGGTAACTGTTATTTTATTCTAGCAGTTATTTGCGCACAAAAAAACGACAAGATGAACTTGATTAGGGACCACTGTGTACGAAAAGTTGAAAAAACACTGCACTACTTTCAGAATCAGAATCAGAATCATTTTTATTGCCACGTAAGTAACAGGAGGTCACAGACTTGGAAATTGCTTTGGCTCAGTGCAACAGTCAGAAAGAGATAATAAAAATAAAGAATAAAAAACACTCCTAAAGGAATACATTTAAATTTAAAATAGAGTTACAGTTACTATTTACAATATACAAGTGCACATGGTGCACACAATGTAAGGTGACAGCAGAACAGTGAAGTAAAGTGACGTATGATGGGCAGTAAAGTGACTTTATAAAGGGCGGGGGGACAGGTTAAGAAGTGTTCAAGAGTCCAACAGCAGAGGGGAAGAAACTGTTCTTGTGGCGGGAGGTTCTAGTCCTGATGGACCGCAGTCTCCTGCCTGAGGGGAGGGGTTGGAATAGTCCATGTGCAGGGTGAGAGGGGTTGGCTGTGATACGACCAGCCCGGCCTCGAGCTCGGGCGACGTACAGGTCCTGCAGCGATGGAAGGCTGCGGCCGATCACTTCCTCTGCAGAGCGCACAATGCTCTGTAGTTTCGGTTTGTCCCTGACTGTGGCTCCAGCGAACCACACGGTGATGGAGGAGGTGAGGATGGACTCGATGATGGCCGTGTAGAACTGCACCAACATCTGTGCAGGCAGCTTGGCTTTCCTGAGCTGCCGCAGGAAGTACATCCTCTGCTGGGCCTTCTTGATGAGGGAGCTGATGGTCGGCTCCCACTTGAGGTCCTGGGTGATGGTGGTGCCCAGGAAACGGAAGGACTCCACAGAGGTGATGGGGGAGTCCATCACGTGGGGGCGGGAGGACAGTGCTCTTCCTGAAGTCCACAATCATCTCCACTGTCTTCTGGGCGTTCAGCTCCAGGTTGTTACCACTGCACCAGGACACCAGCCGGTCCACCTCCCTCCTGTAGGCGGACTCATCGTTGTTGGAGATGAGTCCAATGAGGGGGGTGTCGTCCGCGAACTTGATCAGCTTCACGGAGTCGTGGCTGGAGGTGCAGTGGTTGGTGTACAGGGAGAAGAGCAGGGGAGAAAGAACACAGACCTGTGGGGCACCTGTATTTATAATCCGAGAGTCCGAGACATTCTTCCCCAGACGCACTCGCTGCTTCCTGTCCGTCAGGAAGTCAGTGATCCACCTGCAGGTGGAATCGGGCACGTTGAGCTGGGAGAGATTGTCCTGGAGCAGGGATGGCAGGATTGTGTTGAAGGCAGAGCTGAAGTCCACGAACAGGACCCTGGCGTAGGTCCCCGGGGAGTCCAGGTGCTGTAGGATGTGGTGGAGGGCCAGGTTAAAAGCGTCGTCTACAGATCTGTTGGCTCTGTAGGCGAACTGCAGGGGGTCCAGGAGGGGGGAGGTGAGGGACTTGAGATGGGAGAGAACCAGGCGTTCAAATGACTTCATGACGACAGACGTAAGTGCTACAGGTCTGTAGTCGTTGAGTCCTGTGATCCTGGGCTTCTTCGGGACGGGGACAATGATGGAGGATTTGAAGCAGGCCGGGACATGGCAGGACTGCAGAGAGGTGTGTTAGGATTTAGCAGACAGAGACGGATCGTGGTGTGCCAAACTCTGGAAGTTTATTTAAGTTTCTCTCAAGTTCCACTGGTTTACTCTGTTTCTTTCTCTCAGACAGAATAAAGGCAGTACACAGTTTATATAGTCATTGTCACGTCACACATGGAAAGACATACGTGTCACAAAGAGACAGTCAAATTATAGTCATAACATGGAGTCCTTGTAGAGTCCTTGTATAGTCCTGCACGTAGGCCATATTGCTATCTAATACTAACACCCTCCCCTTTGATCACATAATCACATGTGATCACTCAAATCAATCAATCAATAAAGTGGAAAAAGAAAAAAAAAAAAATCCTAAAAAAAACTTTAAAAAATTATTAAAAACAAAGAAAATGTATGCATTAAACTCATAATCATCAAATTAATATCAGTGGATTTTATCCTCTATCCTGGGAAAAAACAAACAAAAACAAATCAAAAACAATCAAAAATAAAAACAAACACTATTGGACACACAAGAACTCAGCAGATTCAGTCAAAACACAGACAAAAACGAGCTGAGTCTCAATTTAGAAGCTAATTTCACTTTTATTATTCTATACTTTTTCTCTCTCAGGTCCTCAGATCCTCAGGGTCCTCAGGTCCTCTGAGGGTGTCTCAGTCTGGTCCATCAGGTCAGGTCATATTTCGAGAGATGTCATCTTGGACATCAGTAGGGTCCAAGCCATGGTTCTGGTCTCTCCAGATGCACATCAGGATCTCCAGATACAGTCTTTTCACTTGAAGCACATCAGGTCATTTGCGATGCACTTCTGGTCAATGGTGCAGTGTCTCAGTTCCTGTACACAGCTTGTTATGCAATGGTTACTCTCTATGGTTAAATCACTTTGATTCTACTTTAACACAATTTCTATTCCTGCTGTTGCTAATGTCTCTCAGACAAAAGCAAGCGCAATGATTCAGTTTACTTCTCTAATTTGTGTTTTTATCAGATCTAATTCTAATCAATGTAATTACTTCACACAGTACAAAATCAACAAATCAAAAGTGTCAGGACAGAGGTCAATTATGTCCATGACAATATAGAATTCAAATGAAAATTTCTGGTCTCAAAAAATACTGATTCAACTAAAGATTCAAGTGATAGACAATTAAAAATATGTGTTTACATTGGAGTAAACTTTTAAAATGCTTTTTTCTCATGTTCTGCTTTTTCATGTATCTATATGTAAATGTGAATGTGTGAGTGTATGTGTGTATGTGTGTGTGTGTGTGTGTGTGTATGTAGGGTGTAAATTTTGGGGTTGTGTCTCCAGACTCCTCGAACCACCTGTAGGTGTCAAAGGTCACACTGTGGTGATGTAAACAAGCAAAGTGGGCACACTTCCAGATTGCAAAACAACTCACCCACCA